TTTTTCTAAATCAATAAAAATCAAATGTAGATTCTCCTTATTATCTCTGAACTTCTCCATCAAACCTCTCAATAAATCTATAGCTTCCATAGTAGACATGTCCGACATAAATCTAAATTGAGTATGAGAAATCTTTGTGATGTGTCTTAACTTATGTTCAATTACCCTCTCCCATAACATGAAACTTTAAGGTATGACACATCAACTTAATTCCTCTATAATTTGCACACTCTTATGCATTTTCTTTTATTCTTAAAAATGGGGACCAAAATACTCTTTCTCCACTCCTCAGGCATCTTTTTAGTTTTTAAAATAATATTAAAGAGTTTAGTAAGCCAAGAAACTCCCACATCTCCCAAATATTTCCACACTTCAATTGAGATTTACAGAGAAAAGAGGAAAATTTTAAATTTAATAAACCCAAAGATTTAAAATATTCCTATTTATTGCATAGAAGGATTTAGTTAAACCCATTTAGGAGGATTTAACTTAAATCTCCCCTAAAGTCTCCCTTAAGATTGATACAAATCAACCTCAAAAGAATTTCTAATACCATTAAGAATTTATAATAAGTAATAATTGGTTTTTATAGTTGAAATTATGAGTTGCATATCTTTTGCTATTTATTTAATTTATTTACTGATAATTTTAATTAGAAACTATTCAAATAATTTCATAGGAATTAAGAGATTTTAAGAATTGAAAGTTTTCTAAATGATTAAACTAACTTGGAGCACTTTTTGTAAGAAATTCAATATCAATAATTAGGGTTTCAAAAAATATTTAACAAGACGCTTTAAAATAAATCACCATATGGTTTTTTTTAATAAAGAATAAAAATTCATATGAAAATAATAACAATATTTTAAACTAATTATATTGATTAACTATTTATGCACTAATTAAAATTAGTATACTAAATTAGTAATCAACAAAATTGATTTATTTAAGTCATTAATTATATTACTAAAGTGTTAATTACATAAACTAATTACTAAAAAAATATTTTGTGATAAATAATTTTAAATTTTCTATGTTAATTGAAAATTGTTTTTTAATTATGTTACAATAATTTGTATGTAATTATAATGTTATTTAATTATGGAATTTATGTATAGGCTAGTGATCAAGTTTGTACTGGAGAATAAGTCTTTTTTAACTTACTATTATTTAAATTAATAAAGTAATTAAGCATAAGTAAATTCAAGCAAAAATTATAAGTGTATCTACCACATATCTTGAAAGATTTCTTTTTTAAATAACTGAATACATCATTTAATGAATAATATATCATCCTGATAGAGGAAAATATTATTTTAAAATGGATATAATCATTCAGATAATGAAAATCCTTAATATTTATAGGTCTACCTGAAGCAAGGATTTTTCCCCTACCTTACGGGTGTAAGATGGGATTTATTTTTTTTTTCTGGGCATTAGTATCCTTACTAGAGGCAAGCCATAATAGTTGATTACATCTCGAGAGCAGGGAAACTCAAGAAAAAACTCTCAATTAAAGTATTGACTTCGATTATTTAGATTTCAAGGTTGGACACTTCAAAAATTAGAATTTCTAAGGGTGATAAATGAATCCAAGTTTGAAATTTTAAAGGAATAAAGTTCAAATGTTGAGAATTATAATCCGTTGACAACATGTCATGAAAAGGCCCAAGAAAAGGAATTAGCCAACCCAAGTGTTGACCTCAATTTCAGTCAACTCTTCATTCACACTCAATACAAACTCACGACCAACTGAAATCAAACTCAAATATGAAACTTGTTCACATTGAGTAAGAACATTGAAATTGACCATTTTGAAGTGTAATTGAGCTGTCATCAAGAACATCAATTTTTTGTTGGATGGGACTTGCACTTTGACCTCAAATGTCTCACCGTAGAGATAATCTAGCTAAGATCGACCCTACCTTTGAAATTCTTGAGTTTTCCTTTGTCATCAGAAACATGTGGCAATGTCATTGGTAGCTGTCGGTAATGACCAACGATCCGCGTCATCAGAAAACTGGAGCATAATTAAAAAAAAGTCTTGTGTTATTGGATTATAGGTTGTTGGATTTTATGATTATAGATTGTTGGATTTTATAATAGTGCATCGAAAGGTAGTATGTTTGTCATTGCTAGCGTAACCGATGATTACAAACCATCAAAATTTATGATATTTTGTCCAAAGACCGAAATCCTGCAATCATACACTATAATTTCCACATAACACATTGTATTAATCCAAACAGCTATTAAATTAATATCACAGTAGTAATTAACATGAATCATAAACAAAATTTAAAGAAAACCACCACATTAAACCAACTAAAATGAACAATTGTATATAAAAATAATATTCATTTGAATTAATTGTTCTAAATAAAAAAACAAGAAAAAAAGAAGTCCCTACTCATCATTCGTCCTCTTGTCATAATCATCCTCCTCTGGTCGCTTACCTCTCCATCGTGCCTGACGCAATATCACCTTGAAATCTGCATTCATCTTCAACTTCATATCTGATCTCATTTGGGCTAGTTGATGTTGACTTAGGCAGTAACCTTGGTAGTCAAACGGATCATGATCTATGATCGTAATACTGACCTACTGCTAGGATCAACTCTCCACAATCCTCTGAAAGGTCTCCTGCAAAAAAATATGATTAATTAAAGTTAGAGGTTATAAAAACTATAATAGTTATTTAAATTGTATATTATTTAGTATTATGAATTACTTGGGTCGCCTGAGATCTACTGTCCACTCAACTTTGATCTGACTGCTGCTTAAGTGTGAATGCATGTAACTCGGTAGCGGATGGGTCTCGTCCCAACGCTATTGCCTGTCAGAGTAATGAAACAGTTAACATAAATTTAATGTAAAATAAAATTTAATGGAGAAATTCAATCTTGCTCTGTATGGGGCATCACCCAACCAGTGTGCGTGGAGACCCGCATGCCTCCGTAGTCAGAGCGACGATTATGTTTGGCATGCTCTCCCTT